TTTTTTTTTCTATGCAACACCAAATAGCAATGTCAAGTAAGGTTACTATTCTTAGAGCACTGGTCTATAGCTTATATGATATTTGTATAAAGAATTAGCCTTATATGTTGATTTTTTTAAAGTCGTTTTCATCTCTTCATGGCTCCCTATTCTTTTCTACTTTCTGGACTGCACAAGGCAGTATTCGCCCACATGAACAATTGGTATGCTAAAAGAATACTTCACCTGCCTCATTTTTCCACTGCAGTGTACTTCTACAAAAAAAGATAAATATGTAAATTTTGAAATTACCCTCCGTTACTATGGACACTCATTTTAAGACACTCATTTATTCCCATACTTCTGGCTGAGGTAGAATAACATTCTGCTAATTGTTCTTAAACGATGAAACCTATTTTTTGAATAACTGGACTAGTTCATAAATCAGCCAATTATTATTCTAAATGGGCAGATTCACCATTATTACTCATTCACTTGCATTCCCTTACTCTCATTATGTTTATGCACTACACATATGAACTAAATCACATGTATAGTATTAGTATAATTTTAGAAAAACCAGCTCTTGCATTGTTTTAGTGGCATATTATTGAGTCTACTATAAATAATGATGATATGCAGATGTTTAAATTTTTCTGTTAATGCTATGTGAACAAGGTGCAGTAGGGCTAGAATAGAATAGAATAGAATAAAAACAGCAGGAGGTGGAAAAAATGCACAGTTATATTGAATACTTATTTATATGAAAAAGAAATGGCTTTTTAAAGTTACAGTAAGCTGAACAGCAGAAGAGGAAAGCAAGTCTCGGAAAGGGAAAAATGCTGTGCAGCTATTAATCTTTTTTTAAATCCATGTTTACACAGATCTGTCAGATTTTAGAATCCAGACAGAGTTTGGTGAGGAAAACAGACCACTCCCTGTCATACACACCTGAATACCCATGAACACAGTCACACATTGTAGCAGTAATTTTGTTCTTTATAGTGAAATGCTAGGTGTTTCCAGAAGCCCATCTTATGAGTCATTAGTCAGGGTGTATGCTCTGGTAATCTATTGGAAGTCAGCATCTTAACACACATGTCTCTAGATGGTAGGCTTTTTTTAATTATTATTATTTATTTTTTTCGTATTCAATGGGAATTTTGAAGAAGGATGTAATAATACAGATAGTATGTACGTTTTTTTTTAATGGTTGTGATTTAATCAGAACCATCATTATAAGGGACTGTTTAATATCTATGCAAGTCACACGATGAAACCCCTGTACAAGTAAATACAACTGAAAACTCCAGAAGCTTGCATTCAGCCAGCTGACTCGCACCTTATTAAAGCACCTTAAACTATAGAAATATTAAGATGGAAAATTGGGAATGTTTTGAAACTAATCTTTAAAAGAAAACCTTGGGATGCTCCTATACTCCTATACCTCTAAACACACATATGTATTCTTGCTTATAGATAGAGTTAAATTAAAAATAGAAAATTAATACAAAAAAAATGCTTAGTGGAGAGCAAATTCCTTTCTTGCATACTCATTTGATTCTAATGCTTTTTCTATAATGGGTTTTCAGCTAATTAAATCTCGGCTTAAGCAGGGGAAAAAAAATGTTATTGCAAAGTTCTTGCTGTGGTGTTCTCCTTATAGTTTGTCTGTGGTGGGTTTGAGTTTCTGTTTTGCTTTTTAAATGTTCTTATTGTGTTTTAAGTCCCACTTACACCTACTGTAAACATAGGATTTTTCCTGTGCATTTTGTTTACATAGCTTTGCTCTATTTGCTTTCACTAACACGTTTTACTTGTTAGTCAATTGTTCCACAGCTGTCATCTGTTTGTCCTGGCAATGGTTGAGTATTCACAGCATGGCAGGGTTGTTTGCAAGATCATTTACAAAACGTTTTAAGACTTGTGTGGTTTTAATCATAATTCCTTTTTTAACTTCACCTAGCCATAACTTATTATTTAATTAATTCTTGGTTTGCTCTTGGAAATCTGCACTGGGTTTGTATATGTGACTCTTTTCTAGAATACAGACTTTTGCCAGATATCTATGAGCTCTGTCTGCAGGCTACTTAGACTGCTCCCCTGTCTGTTGTGCCATGTTTTTTTTTTATTTTCAGGCAGTCCAAGCTTTGTCAAGCAGTCTGACTCAAACCTCAATGTCAAAGCCATATAAAAGCAGCTGCTCATCTTAATGGAATAGGTCTGCCATCAAATATTACACACTGTTATTTTGAGAACATACTGTGCAGTATTGATCTTCTATCTGCATATTAGCAGTATTTTTTGTTGTTTTTTTCCTCTTCAGTGATGTTTTAATTAAAAACTTTAGGGTTGATGGGTTTTCTAAAGGGAAGCTTTTATTCTCAGCTTCACATACCCATTTCAATGTTTGAAATTTACCACAGGTTCTCTGCTCAGCAGGAAATCCATTTCCTCAGACTGGCTGTGCTCCTCCCAGCTCCACTGATCTCTCTCTCTCTTGTCATCTATGATCGGATTGCATCAATCAGCCCTTATCTTTTCCTGTTTTGTATAACCTCTGTAGGGTTTTGTTCCTGTCAGTACATATGAATATATTTGGGAGGTTTATAAAAAAGAAAGTAAAAAAAAAAAGGAATCAAAAACGCAGAAAGTTAGCGCCAAAAGACACTATGTTTTTCAATATTTTTTCTCAATAATATTCTAGCTGGATGAAGCAAAAATTATTCATTATGCGTGGCTGGAATGATTAAAGTGATTAACACTAAAAGTAATAAACATAGCCTAGAATAATGGATGCCGCAGTGTGTGTTGTTAAACTTCTCAGCAATAGGATCTTACAATCTCATGACCCCATCATTAACAAAGAAGGAAGTTAAGATGAGGCAGCAAAATTATTAAGAAAAGCTATTTGAAAAAGCAATTAGTGAATGCTATCAGGTAAAATATCGAAATCATACAAAAAATGTGAAAAAATATATAAAGTGCAGAATGAACATTTTGATGTCAGAGGATTTGAAAACTCAACGTATCTGATTTAGCACCACATATGGAAATTTATTAAATTAGACTTTTTGGGCAGTTGAAAAGATCAGAACAACATGAATTCATGGTTGTTAGCGTTATGTTTTTTTGTTTTTTCTTTTAACTACTTTGTCAAAAGAATCAGGAAAATTTGTGATGCTTATGTAGAACATGTGAACAATAAGTAGATGATGGTCAAACCCTTTACTGTAGTCAATCTACAGTTACTGTAGTAGAATGGACATTTTTTCCTGGGAATGTAGGTAAGAAATACCCAAGTGACTTCTTGAGTAACTGAGCATGAGCTAGTCCATCCTACAAGCTCTTCCACTATCACATGAAAGAAACTCCCAAATACACAGGGGTATTTTTTTATTTTATCTGAGGTCTTTTTCTTCTTATAAACTTGTAAGACAGGTAGCTTCTCAGCCATTTTCATATATAGTGAGAGTGGGGGAGCCACACTGATTGACAGAAATGAAAGCTCAACGGATACATAAATGCTGGAAGTTGCAAACATTTGCACATGGGACAATCAATAGATAAGACAGTCCCCCTGAACCTGAAAAAAAACCTTCTTCTATACCTTTAAAACAAAAGCATGTAGTATTTTTCTTTTGTTAATCCTCAGCTAAATATGTCTAGAATTGAAAATATTGTAGGGCTTGATTAGTTAGAAAAGACTGAACATCTTCACTTTGAAAAATCGATTCATGGGTCAAATTTCTGTAATTAATCTGATTTCTATTTAGGATAATAAGTTGCTTCACAGCTGCTGCCTGGGTGTGACATAAATTATTTATCAGATGTTTTGTATGTTCTATAAATAATTATAGGTTTTCTATAAAAAAAAAAATCTGATAAAATATGCCTTTAAACATTTTATGACTTTGTTTTCGCTTTCTTGTCATCCCTCTCTTCAGTTACTTATAGGATTTGAAGGTGGAACCATTGTGCAGTGGGACCTCCGGGCCAAGAAGGCTGACTTCAGAATTTACTATGATGAGGTACTTGCTATAACATAGTAACAGAAACTGTGGTCACGTGAATGTTGATTTCTCAAGAGACAGTTTTTATGATGCAGTTACCATCTTATTACTGTTTTTTTTAAAGAGTTAGTTGGTGGGCCAACATTTTAGCAAGGCTAGAATGTTACTTGAAGAATAATATTATACCAATGATTTAAAGGTCAACAGATGTGGTGTGAAGAGTCTGCTAAATTTTCTACTAAACAATTTAAAACCAGTTACTACTTAAAGAAGCTAGTTTCTTTTTTCATTTTGTTTTAGAATGAATTTTCTAGATGAGATATTTGTAAGTTGATAGGATATAAATACTGTATGCAAATTATTTGTGCTCCTCAAAATAATCCTTAATTTTTTTCCTGTTCATTTTTTTCAAACTTGTCACATTAGTTATTTATACATACACACAATTTCACCATAAGATGATAATGTAATCAGACTTAAAAACAAAAGATAATTGTACAGATGTTCATATACAATTTATATGGAAAGAAGTTATTAGAATAGAATGAGTTATGGGACTAAAAATGTGTCCTGTAAACATTATGATAATAGTTCTCTGACGAACAAAAAACCACTTGAAGCTGATCAATATCACATTCATGTGGCGGTGAATATGTGCACCAGGGTCAGCTTGCTTCATTCAGAATAACTTGATCCTGACAAGCATTTACATGCAAGCTAATCAAATTGCCAATCAGCCTAAACCAATCATTTGAGTTGATTTAAGATTTTATTCTGATCCTACCAAATCCAATCAAAATATTTTGACTAGCATGTTTACATTAGAGACTTTACTTATGACTATCTAAAGGTAGTCGTTGTGCACTTACGCAGCACTTCTGATATCACTTCTGATATCACTTCTGATATCACTTCTGATATCACTCGTTGTACGTCATTTTTGAAATTGCATTAAAGTCTCACACCACCTCAGTCTATAAGAATGTGTGAAAAGCAAATGTTTAAACGTTATAAAAGTTATATCTTTATCTTTGTCTTATTACCACAGGCTATCCATTCAGTCAGTTGGCACCATGAAGGGAAACAGTTTATGTGCAGTCACTCTGATGGGAGCCTAACACTATGGAACCTCAGAAACACCACCAAGCCATTCCAAGTCACCTTTCCTCATGGTGAGATACACTTACTTAAACTTCAGAGCAACATGCAACTTGGCAGGTTTCCATGTAGCTACTTGGATTGCAACAATTTTACAGTTTCATGGGAGTTTGTTTCAGATTGGTGGAGCATCACTTCTAAAAGTTACTTTCCCATGTTTGGTTATGGTTTTCGGTATACATACGTCAGAAGACCCGAGATGTCTGTTTAATTGAAACAGCCTGTTAATTTATTTTGGAGCTAAGCCATTCAATGATTTATAACAAACTATTATAAACTATTTAATAGTTTATTCTCTTGATATACTGGGAACCAGTTTAACAACTTAAAAACTGTGGTGATGTGCTCCACCTCCTTAGTTTTAGTAAGGATGTGAGCAGCAGCATTTTGTAGCTGTAGCTGTCTGATGGACTTATTTGGCAGATCTATAAAGAAACCCTACAAGGTATTAATATTACAAAAGACAAACACATGACCTCGTTTTTACAACATCTTTAAATATGTTAAATGGCTGGTAATTGTCAGGAAGGTGTTTTTAATATTTTTTTCAAAATTCTTACTGATAAAGGATTTGAAATAGGTTTGCAGTTCTGCCGTAGCAGCTTGTCCTAAATGCTCTTTTTCCAACAGCAGTTTGAAAACTTCTGTTTTTAGGGCCTGCAGGAACATGGCAAATAAGGCACGAACATTATTGCTTTTGCTGGTAATGTCAGAGAAAATTCTTCTGCATGCATGCTTTGTTTTTGTTTTTAAATAATGTCCCTTTCGTAAACTGGATTGTTGGAAATTATTGGGGTACTAAAAAAAAAAAAAAACATCCTTCAGGGGTTTTTCTCTGTTTGGTTTTAAGCCATGGATACCGTAAATTATGTGGTCTTGGTTAAGTTGCATCTAACAACTGTATTTAAAAATACGAATTGCAGCTATTTAAATCACCTAATTAGAGTACCTCAAAGGCTTACAAGAGACTACCCTAACTCATAGAAAAACCAGAGCCATTTTGGATCTTTCTCTGTTCTCTTTTCCCCTGGGATCCTGCAAGGCTCATTTCTTAGCCCTTCCTTATTATATCTTGTTTTCTTGAGTTATAAATGTGCTTTTCATTTTCATGCTGACCAGTGCCAGGTATATGTTCCCTTGAGACAAGAAGAAACCATTTTTTTTTTTTGCAGTCAATATTTGAGTGCCTTGACAAAGTAAAAGCCTGGATGGTTCTCACAAGAAAGGGGAAGCATGGGAAGTCATGTTTTAGCCTCGTTTTACTGGCCGCCTGTTTATTTCAGGCTTAACTTTAACATTCTTTATTTGTTTCTAAATCTTTAAAAGGCCCCGTAATACCACTTTGAGTTTCTTGAATTACATTGCCCTTCCTGTTCACTCCAGTCAGTGTATCAGCCTTTGCTGGATATGCCAAGGATACAATGAAAGCTTGGAGGTGACAGACCTTTTTCTGTGGCAGTTCCAGGACTTTGGAAATAACTTTATGAAGTTGAATAGTTGTTTAAGACATCTGTGAAGGCCTTAACACTTCAGAAGAGAACAGGAAATCTACTAAAACCTGACTATCCTTGTAAAGATATAGACCATAGAAGAAGAGCATTAATCAGTGGAGAAGCCAGGAGGCCTATGGTGTCTCTGGAGAAACTGCAAAGATCCACAGTTCAGCAAGGGGAATCTGTTGACAGAGCAACTATTAGTCGTTTACTGTACTCAACAAATCTTACTAATACGAAAGGATACAAAAAAATAAATAAATAAAAAGTCTTGTTGGCAGTTTGGTAGAAGTCATGGGGGCACACCAAGCCTGTGAGGGAAGGTGCTCAAAAGGACACAAAATAGAAGAGGATTGAGCTCTTTCCTTTGAGTAAAGCAGAAAAGCAACAGCAGATATCACCTTAAGCACATTTTGCATAATCTAAAGCACGGTGGTGGCAGCACCAGACTGAGGGGATGCTTTTTTTCCAGGACGCATGGATAAAATTTGTAAACCTTAATAGTTCTTTCTAAAATAAAATTATGCATTGCACTACATGAAGCTGACACCGCTAGTTCCAAAATATTTATGGTGTTTGTCAACAGGCAAGCATTCCTAAAACAATTTAGATAGATACCAATAGATAGGTTCACCTAAGGGTCTGTTAGTTAGAATGGTACTGGTTTAAGAATTTGTTTTTTTGTGGTGTTTCATAATATGATAAACATTAAAACAATGCCATGTTGCAAATTCAAATGTCAGGTCATAAGTAGGGACTTGTATTTGTGTCTTTAAAGACTGTTTAAAGTATTAATAAATGTGCGTTCTCAGTTTGTCACTTCACAGAAATGTGTTTTATTAAACACCAGTCTGAATTATTAGGAACTCACCTAAGCATAAATAATATTGTAAAACTAATTAGAAATATGTCAGTTTTCTCTCTCTTGACACGATGGAGAGTGTCTGCTAGGGCCGATGAAGCCACGCCCACATGCTATTCTGCTTCACAGCAACAATTTTTTTTTTTTTTACTAAAAGCTAACTTGTATATTTACATTCTAATTTTTTTTCTAAATTATTATTATTTAGGTAGGATCAGTGCAAGCTTAATGCATATGCGACTTATGTTCAATAGGGAAGCCCAGGACAGTTGCTCTGCTCTCTGATCTAAAACTGTTGCATCTGAGTCCCTGTTAGTGTTTTGGATGGCGGGGGGGTTATAAACTTTTTCCTAATGGCCTTAAACTCAAAGTGATCTGTGCTATCATGTGTTGTCACCAGAGTCTCCAACATGACAGGAAAAAGTAGTTAGATTTTTCACTAGTCACTTTTTTGAAGAGAACAGTTTAATGGCTCGAAAAAGTGGTAAATATAGCGCAAAGTCACTGAGTCTGCAATAATGCAGATGCAGCCTCGCAGTTTTGTTTGATACTACTGGGCCAGCAGTGGGCGGGCCTATGCTGAAGGCAGCTGCGTGATGACATAAGATCACAATTTTATTCACACCAAAAAAATCCTGAAACACAGAAGAATTGAAACCTAAATTCCAGTGCCACAGTGCATACATAAAAGGTTGGGTGACTTACATACCTTTATGACATTTTTACCGTTTTTAGAATTCTCTTAACTCCGTCTTTAAGCCTGTCCTTGAAAGAATAAAATTTGGTCAAAGCACACTCTCAGTCACCTTGAAATATTTTTACATGCTCAAAGAAAGAAAAATAGTGAAAATTCTAATCACTGTGAAATTTTAAGCAGTGGCTCAGCTGAATGAATTTAATATTGTGCTTGGAAGAATTCAAAGTGTGCTTTAAATTTCCATTCCTACTTCTGTTAGTTTACTGGCATGGCATCTTGACAGAATGCTGTTTTCTCACTTTGAACTATAAAATTACAGAACATTGATGCATAAGAGAAACTAAATGGCAATATGATTTTCTTAAGTTAAGGGACTTCTTATTCTATCTTGTTTTGTTTTTTTTCTCTTCATTACTGATTATCTATAATCTGTTTGGCCGGATACATAACTAAAATCGAAGTAAAGGAAAACTAAACACATGCAGAAAGGATTTCATCCACTAGCAGTTTTGTAGAGTCTGTCTGATTTCTAGACAGATGTAAGTAGATATAAGTGCACAGGCACGAAATGTACCTGTCAGTTTAGATAAAGGGTTTTCTGTAGAGAACATTCAGTTAGATCTGGAGTCTAAAACATTTTTGAACCAGGATGATGATGATGGAGGGCCTGTGCATCTCAACAACTCCCACGAACCCTGAGGTATACAGTAGGCTACCAGAAGCACTCAGGATGTAGGGAATTTGCAATGTTCTTCTGTTCATTTTGGATGGCAACACAACTCTATAACTCATGAATCTGAGTTTGAAGGGGTGGAAAAGAAAAAACAAGTACAATAGCAGGTGGAGGTACAGTGCAGGGAAGTTGTGCTGTAGGCTTCATTTCTATGTTGTGATGCTATGTAGCAGTCTCTAATATTCTCTAAGAACTTTTTCTGCAATGGTTAGGGAATGCAAATGATAAAGACTAAAAGACAGTAAGACAACTTGGTCCAAGTGATTACAGGGAAAGCCCCAAAGAAAGCAATGCAACATGGGGCCTAGAACTTTTTGCCTGTCACTGGATTGGTTAACTTTGGTTAATATTGTTTATTGTTTTCCATTAAACAATTTAAATCACAAACTTCATTTTTCCAATACATACTTCAAAAGATATAATTCTAATGTAAGACATGTTTGACAAGATAATTTCTTAGATATCTTTCTGGTTATAATTCACCTTGACTATCCTAACAAATAAAGAAACGGATAAATCAAAATAATTAAGTGCAAAAAGTATTTTTTATTTTAGGCTTTTAACATTTATTAATATTTTACCTTAATAATAGCAGTAAAACACTATAATTGCTATAATGTACTGGATTAATTAGCATACTGAGCTGTATTTAGTACTGTTATCAGCATTTAGGGTATAAATAGCTAAATTAGTAAGGAAAATCACAGAAGTTACAATCCATACTTAGGCATTTGTGAAATTAGCTTTTAAATATGTTATTTGCTTTTTAATTTTCAGAACAAAAGACGCCAAATGATATATATCTCCTATTTACTAAAATACATATATTTTAAATCTGATATTGAGAAACAAACTCTGACTAGACTGAAAAATGTTTTTTTAAGCATTTCAGATTGTTTGAATTATGTCTATATTATCATCAAGGAAAATTGTAATAAATTAGTATGAATATGATTATCTATTTAATTAAGCTCTTATTCATTTTTTAAATTGCCTTTTTATCCACATTACTGTATTCAACTGGCCCACGCTACGGGGGGTCTTTTACTTTCATTTTACTTTTCTAAGTTGACTTTTGTTCAAAATTCTGTCTCCCTGAAATAAAAACCAAATGCTTCTCTTCTTTCAAACATAGATTACTTCTTTTGGAATAAACTGCTGGATCATATTGTTAGATTAGCTAGAAGGAAAATAACTTTATAGCAGTGACTGTGATAATGATCTGCCATCCCTCCAAATAAACAGAAAAAGAAATGGAGACATAAGTGTTAAAACTTTTCATAATTTTATTGACACAACCTGGTTGTCAGCTTGCATGATCCTTAAAGCAGCAGAGGAGAGGGTTGTGAATGTGAAAGAGTTAATAAATACATACAAATAAAAAATAAACAAAATTACTTAAAATGATCAAGAAAGAAAAAATATCTTCTAATTAACAAAAGGCAACGTATGCATTTAGTCTAATCTGGAATGTATTTACAGTTTGCAGAGGAAGTAATGCTTCTAAGAAATTGATAACCGAGATCCTTAAAAGAAATGCTTATTTTCAGTTAAACTGAAGTAAATATTTCATCCCATTATTTTTCTTATTGCAATCATACAGGAAAGATACAGAAGGATGGGAGAAAGGAGTCATGCAAACCAATATTGAAAGTGGAGTACAAGACCTCAAGGAGCAGGTTTGTTCTCTCGAATTTCCATTTTTGCAAAATTTCATACAATGTTTTTTTGGATTGTCTTTTTTTATAAGTGCTGACACAAGCTAAGCAAAGCAAACTGTTGTTAAGAAAATTTAAATTCTTCTTTTGCAACAGTGAGCCTTTTGTCATCTTCTCTGGTGGTCTTTCATATGACAAGGCGGGACGACGACCAGCTTTAACCATCATGCACGGCAAGGCCATCACCGTTTTAGAAATGGACCACCCTATTGTAGAATTCATGGTCCTCTGTGAGACGCCGTACAATAATGGTATGTACATAGGTTACAATTCTCATAAATCTTTATTGTACCTCTGTTCAAAGGTTTTAAAACCATGTGTTGACAGTCCCAAGATGTTTGGGAATGATAACACAGAATCCTGGAATTACCTTCATACATTACTTACTTAACATTTTATATATTTGTCCTTTAGTATGAATATTCTTCTGTCCTTGTGTGTGTCTAACACAGTTTAGCAGTAAGCCTAACTACAGTCAAATGAATATGTGAGTCAGGATGTATCTTCCTTACCGCCACTTTATTTCACTCAATCACGTATATGGAGTAAAACTTTAATGCAGACATAAAATAGCTACTTTTAGTTTAGAATCATTAAAAAACATTAAACAGAAACTTGGAGTTCAATGTTAACATTAAAATAAACTAACGTAAAACCATTGGCATCATATAGTAGTCAAACCTCACATTTACTGTAAACATTCTCCACAAATAAGATTTAAACAAATTTTACTCTCGAATATTAAATTCAAACTTACAGACAGTGGTGTCAATGGCATAAACAAAAGGCAGATGGCAGTGGATGACATTTTTTTTTTTTTTTTTTGAGGTTTTTACGGCACTAGTGGCTCGTTTTTTTTTCTGATAAAGCAGGCTGACAGGAAAGGAGGAATGAGTGAGGTGGAGAGACATGCAAAAAAGGACCTGAGGTCGCAGTCAAACCTGGAACTAAGACCTCTGTAAATAGGTAGTGCACGCTCATCACTGTAAAATGCATAGACATACATGTAAGAGTAGAGCCCGCATTGGCTGTTGCGGCGGAGAAATTACGGACGCCATCTTGGGGACGTCGACCTGCTCTAAGCCCTAATGCTACGTTCACACCGCACATGATTGAAACAGCAGAGGCAGCTGGTTTACATTCAAAGTCAGTGGTCGAAGGGCATCAAGGTGCAGAGAAAGGTCCTGCAGCATCTTGAGCAGCAAGAGCAGTGCATCTTGATAGATCTGAGCAGCCGCAGCACTTCATGAACTGAGCATCATAGGTGCATTATTCGCTAAAGAAACAGCAGCTGGAGTTGGTAAAGTTGAACTTTTGCTGCTCAACGCACCACATCAACCAATCAGAGAAGCTCATCTAAGAGCTGGCAGGGAGACGGACACAGCACTGCTGATCCAGATCACTATGATCACTCCTCTGAAACAGTTTATGAATGCCTAAATTAACTTAAAATGTTGAAACCTGCCGGCAAAATATGTTTGCTTGTGTGATTCTGGTGCCTGTAGTTTGTATCACACACGCACCTAAAAAAGCTAACACCTACTTCCAGCCGTGATGAACTGTAGCAGAAACCTGTCTTACAACAAATTAAAGGGCAGAACAATAACACTACTGGGGTAAAAAACAAACAATTTGGCTCATTTTGTTTATCGTCTTCTGTGTCAAATGTGTGCTGGTCCAGTCCTGTATGAATTTAAATTTACTAAAGTTGGGTTATTGTTTCCAACTGGCTTTCAAGAGTTAGACTTTCAAATTTAAAGTAAAACAGTAATAATAAATCAAAGACTATAAAACATATGTGAAAAAGTCAAGAGCAATGCTTTTTGAAGTGTTTAAAAACAAGGTTTTTGAATACCACCATACCACCACCGACATGTTAAACCATCAATACAATGAAACTAGGACCTTGTCATTTTGTTTTGCCGTGGCTTAAAAAAGAAAGTAAAAAATTAAAATATAAGCTGGATAAAAAATGTTACATTTCAACTATTAAAGTTTATTGTTTAAATCATACTGTGGTCCCCCTTTTTGAGAATTCTTCATGATAGTTCTTGTAAAAGTGCCTTAGAAAAAAAAAAAAACATTGACGGTTCTATAAAATCTTAAATCTACTGTTGATAGTGTAAAAGTGCTTTTTTGTTTTCAGGATTTTTGTAGTACCGGTAAATACTCTAATATTATCCCAGAATCTATTAAAAAGACAACTGGAATCTAAATGATCCCAACTGGTTTGTATTCATACCTACAGAAGTCCAGGAGCCTTATGCTGTGGTGGTGCTCTTGGAGAAAGACTTGATTGTGGTGGATCTCACACAGAGCAAGTAGGTGTTTCACATACCCTCCCAAACACCACCCACCCCCACACTCACACACACAAACACTTGCTGCGAGGTGAGACTGATGTGAAATCACCAAGCGAGACCTCTGAGCTTCTCTTTTTCTCTTTTTGACAAGCGACATCATAATGCATTACCACTGAGGAAAGGCAAGTCTACACCTTCAGGATACCAATAGAAACCCTTTTTGTCACAGTTTTCACCCAAAGATAAAATTATTTTTACATGTAAAATTTAACCTGAGTCTCAATTTTAAATTAATTAAAGGACATATCATTAATACTTTCAGAGAGGAAAATCTGTATAAATTTGTATATGAAAATGTTTTTTTGTTTTTTTTAGAAGATTTCTCACTTCAGTTGAAACTCTGTCTTGCAGATTTCTATTTATTTTTTTTTTTATTAATATTTGTCCTAATCTGGTGTTATAATCCAATCACTGCTTTCATGGTGCAACTTCCACCATCTTAGTTAATTAACCTCCAAAGGGTGAAATAAAGATAGAAAATGCTGATGAAAATAAATTAAGAGATAAACACCTTAGCCCCCAGAGTATGTTTGAATAGTGGATCAACACTTCAGTTCAAATCAACTTGCTCTGAAAATTAGATTTGATAATTACAGCAGTCAGATATTAATGTCTCCTGATGGCTGTACTGTTAGTTCACCCAGATTGTATTTTGTATTCTCATTGATCAGCAGTAAGTTGTGTTGAAGCTGACACAGAGTTAATACATGTCTGCTGTTCAATAACTAAATTAAATTTTCACTGTTGGTGTGTTTTGCTGTCCGAGCCTTTTTTGCTGACACATTGTAAAGTTAATATTTTAGTAATATTTGACATACTGTTAGGCCATTTTAACATTATTTCTATTATTAGATAGAATTATAAGTACATAGTGCTTTATATACATTTGTATTGTTAACAATGTACTTTTACAGCTTAAAATTAAAGTAGCTTTTAGAAAGAAAAATACACTTTTGATTTTGCAACACTTTCTGCTTTATGTGTTATTGTTCTTATATCCTGGTTTGATGCTTTTCAATTGTTGTGTCTTACAGCTATCCTGTGTTTGAGAACCCATATCCCATGGACATCCACGAGTCTCCTGTAACCTGCACGGGTTATTTTGCAGATTGTCCACCAGACATTATCCCGATTCTCTACTCAATAGGAGCGAAACACAAGAAGACCGGCTACAGTCAAAAGGTCCATTTAATACTGAAAACAAATAATTAAGAAAGAGTTCTGCGCTTCTTTGTTTTTTTTTTTTTTTGCTTTTACGACCTTTTTAAGCAATATAAAAGCATTCAAAGGAGAATCCCTTACAGTCATGTGTGGCTATTATTTATATAGTGGCTAACAATTATACAGTATATGTTAGGGGCGGCGGTGTCTTACACCTTATTTATTGAATTCAAATGTTAAACTGTCTTTAGGATCTTTGCAAATAGTTTTTTTTCTCAACACATTTCTGTGTGTATTCCCTGGAAAACGTAAATCCTTACAAACTCTGACATTTCTAAAAGGCTGCAAATATTCACATATCAACTCGTTAAACAACAAATAGATGCTAGAAGCTCAATAGAAAAAATAGCTTTTCTTTTAACTGCTAAAGAGTGACTATTTAAAACTAGCATCCTGGACTATAGGTATGCATCTCCTGCAATAGGTATGCATCTACTGCAAATGGGATTTGATTTTTAGTTTCTTACTCGTCTTTTTCTTCATCCATTGTAATCAAGTAAGCAACTCTTTTAATACTTAAACAGATCACTTTGAATGTCTTTTCCTCACAGCTTCCACATTAAAGATTGAATGGTTCAGTAACTGAACAATAAACAGGATTTTTTTAAGGCACAAGAGGATTTATAAGAGCATCTGTAATTATTGTGCGGGATAAATTAAAATATTATTTATTTGTCCACTTGTTTTTTATTCAGCTTACTGGAATATTTATCTTTTTTGCCATCCAGATAAAACATTCTCAGAGATGTCCTTAATGTTCGGCTGCAATATGTAGAGATGGGTAGATCGATCCTAGAATCCATAATAACAATACCAAAACTGGTAATGATATTAAACTATAGTCCAGTGAAAAGACCAATAATTTTTTTGTCTCTTCTGCACGCTCTACTGCTGCAGATTCACCAAAGTCTTTTTTTTTTTTTAGATAAAAATGTTTTAACATGCTTGAAATTGCTTTAAACTTAATTTGTTATTTTTCCGTTGTTCAACTATCATAAAATATTAAAGTAAAAAATCACAAAAAAAAAACACCAAAAGATGAATACATTCATGATACATAAAACTTTAATTAAATAAAAGTATCAATATCAGTACCAGCGATACTGACTCATGGTATCTTACTTACTTAATCGCATCGATCAAAATAGGAATTATGCTGCAAATTCCTGGAACTGCCCACCTCTAGCTATTAGGACTAAGGCGGACCTAATGGAGAGAACATGCTTTGGAACAATTCGGTTTTTTTGTCTGTGTATTCAGACTTTTATAAGAAAATCTGTTACATTCCTACATAAGACAAATTATTTAACCCCATAGAACAATTTTCATAGAAACCTTATTAGTGCATTTCATTATCATTATGATCCGTTTAGTTTTAAATCAAACCCAGTTTTGGATTATGGAGTGAAATCATGCATGTCTGTCAAAAGTTATGGGAGTTTGAAATGATTTTCAAAAAAGATTTTACAAACACTGGGGTCAACAATGAGAATATGTTGTAATTAGAATTTAAAATGATGTTTTCTCTCTTAAGGAGTGGCCAGTTGGTGGTGGAACATGGACATTAGGCTCCCACACTTATTCAGAAATCATCATCACAGGGTAAGTCTGACATTTTGACAGAAATGGAAGAAAAAAGAACATCTGAGGGATTTCCGCTTGCCCTTCACACAACTTATTATGTATATGTAATAATGTTTCACTTATTTCACTAGTGTGACCTGAGTCTATTCCAGGCTAAGGAGAACCGGTGTCTTTTATGGGGCTGACAGACATGTTAACTTATTCTCACACACAGGGTGTGCAATAGCTGAGTTGAGTCTCTGATGCCAATGTGGAGAGCATTTTCTTAAGAGCCAGTGTGAAAATTTTAAAAATCTCAGATCATAACGAAGGTTTTTTCAGAGGAACCTAAGATTTGAATTTGTTCTTCTCAGTTAAGGCAATATGAATGGCTTTACTGCAGATTTAAAGACAGTTGCAACTTCTAAAATAAGAACAAATAACTAATTAAAGAAAGGTAAATGCTTTCCGTTATGTTGTAGTGCTCTGCTTAAAAGATAAAAAAAATTAACTGTTTTTTTACTTGCTTTTTTGTTGTTGTTTAGACATGCTGATGGGTCAATAAAGTTTTGGGATGCATCTGCATGTAAGTCGCTTCTCTAATAATTTCCTTGTCATTTTAGAAACAACTCTGAAATATTGATTTGAGATCATCTCAGGTTTTCTGTGACACATCAAGATCCAATAAACAATATGAGATCCCCGATGAGTCACTTCCATTTTGCCACAGGCTTGAAAGAGAGGACACCAAAGCAAATTAATAGCCCTCTCATGATAGGGAAAGCTGCACAGCTAATTAAGCAGGTTGCCTAGAGTTATATCAAAGCTATTACCAGAAAGAGACATAAAATAGCACATGAAAACGAGGTCTCGCCAAAGAAAAAAGAAAACCAGTGTGTTCTAATTTGTTTTAAAAGTCACGCTACAGATGTTGTACAAGCTAAAGACCTCCAAAGTGTTCGAGAAGCCAAAGCCAGGTGATGGTCGGGCTGCTGAGATGGGGGAGGACGATCCTTTTGCTGTCCAGATGGTTAGCTGGTGCCCTCATAGTCGCATCTTCTGTGTGGTCGGCATCTCGGCACACATTATTCTGTATCGCTTCAGTAAATATGAAGCCAACACTCAGACAGTGGTGAGTAAAAATAAGAACCTGGTAAGGAAGATTGCAAACTGACTATCTGATGTCCTGCAGATGTTTGCAGTTTTTAAGCCATTTCTGCATTTTGAAAATAATAGATTGAATAAAACTTGTAGTTATAGTTATGGTTCTGTGGACTCATTCATATTTCTGCATTTCTGTCATTTCTAGTCCTTAGAAGTGCGTTTGCAGTGTGAACCGGAGGATATTATTACTCCATCTGAGAATGAAAACAATCCCTGCTTCTCAGAGCCCACATCTCACTCACCCCAAACCCACTACCAACATCCTGTTAGCCCTGGAAGCAGAACACCCGACGGAGCTAAAGACAGCGTCCCCTCTCTCAAGTAAGCTTGTGGTTCAAACAGAATACAAAACATAATTCCTGATAAGTAAGGAAATACTGACATTTACATACAGAAACATTAAGTGAAAAAAAATTAAATAAAAACAACTCAGAGGCAGAAATAATCAGTAGGAGTTGTGTGTAATTCCTTTTAATCTTTCTGTTCTCTGTGGCAAAAACACTTGCTTCTCTCCCTTAAATCTGTTTTAGAGTGAAGGAAAAAATGGTTCGCGTCCCTCCTGGCTATCAGTCAGACTTGGTCATCCAGCTGCTGTGGGTAGACGGTGAGCCACCACAGCAAATCACCAGCCTGGACATCAATTCTGCATATGGCTTGTAAGTTCTCAGACAGATTATGTCAAACCACATCAGTCAGTCAGTCAGTATGTGAACCTGGTTATCTGATACACATGTTTGAATGTTTAAACTGAAATTGAATTAACAAACTTAAACTACATAACAAAAACAGATTTTTTTTTTCAATACACCAAAATACATTTTCAGAGCAAATAAATGATTCTTTAAACTATTTAACTCTGCATCAAAGGAATATATCTAAATTTGTTTTTTTAATTAGATAAATACAGATTCAGTCAGGATAGTTCAATTTCATTTTCTGATTGCACAAGTTTCTGCACACATTACACTGGGATAAGTGTCCTAAACTATCCAAAACCTGAAAAAATTAGAGAAATCTTTCCAGAAAAACAACAGCTAAATATATTTACTTATTTTTCTGTGTCTGTGTGGAAAAAGGACCCTTTTAAGGAAAATATATACAGTACTTTTAAATTTGGCTTTCATGCTTGACCCATTGTGAATCAGAGAAAAATTCACAATACATCAAATCCTTTGCATCCAATTCTTCTGATTAACAAAAACTAATGTGTGGTTGTTTTGTCCTGAAAAAATAATCGCTCAAAGTAATCAGTAAAAGCTGCTTATTGATCACATGTATGCCCTTAGCGACTGTCAGTGAACTGAACTGTATCTTTCAAGGTGTTAATATTTTGCAAACGTTCAGTCAGAATAATTCTAAAGTCATGTAGGTGAACACCACCTTCATCTATATTTTTCCTTTTTTATAGGAAAAAAGGAGAAAATCCTTAAGGTGCAGCACATAGTCTACTTTTCAGGGGCTGACATAAAACAATTGCATATTCCATTTCTAATTCCATTCAGGGAAAGTTTAACTATGACTAAATCCTAAACCATTTATAAATATATTCTCTTTTAAACCACACATGGTGTTGAATATGCATAGCTCTGCCCATCTGTCTTTTAGCTTCTGTGTTTCCTTTGGGCTGGCTTTGTTACATCTAAACAGGTTTTTATGAATTTGGGTTTTAGAAGGTGTTTGGGGTTTCAAATGGCATTAAATATACATAATCAGAGGCAGGAAGCACATTTGAACATACAGGAACTGTATGTCAAGCAATAACGAAACAATGTTAATTTTGCAGCACACTAAGAAACACTAAATATAAGACTAGATGTAAAAAAAAAATGGCATGTTATGGTGCAAATTAATTAAATTCTCTTTAAAAAAAAATGCTTTTTCATATAATTTGAACAATTTTTAATCATAGAAAAGAAACATATTTTTAAACACTGCTGTAGTAGGGAATAGAAAATGTGAACGTGTTTATGCAGCAGTAGCACACCTCCTTTCTTTTTTCCTTTTAAGAATACTAAATAGCTTTTCTTTGAAAAGAGCCTCGCTTCTCAAAAACCAATAAAGTCACAGCTTGGTTTAAAAAGCTCAGTGTGGTTCAAGGCCAATGCATTTTTTGAAATTTCTCATTTAAAGCTTTCCACAATTTGAACATGGCCACTGGATATTGATTTATTTTGTTGTCTCTAATTGACTTTTCTATGAATATAAACTCTTAAATAAAAAAAAAAAAAGAGAGAATTAAATATATTTTGTTGATATTACTTAGCTTTCAGTGCAGAGGAAAAGTAGTCAACTGGATATATAACTACAACAACTGTAGCTTATAAAAACTGTTACATAATTAATTGTACAGACTGTATAGCCAAGGGTATAAAACATTGAATAAAATAATGATTATCCCTCCATCAGCTAACATATATGAAGAAATGCCTTAGGACATTAAGTAGTGCTGCTATTGGTTCAATTTCAATGAAACTGATTCTGTTGTTAATTTTAAACATTTATTAGCTGTTTTTTAAGTATTATTCTGTTAACAGTTGCTATTTGATTTTATTGTATATATGTGTACAGCATTAAGTCACAGATAATGTCCTCTCAGGGTCCTTTATAGGGCAAACAGATCTTATTTATTTTCAATATATACAATCAAATTAAATTCTATTTAATAATAATAGAACTTTATTAATCTCACACTAGATAAATTTACCTCCTACTTTAACCCATCCCCTTGGGGAGCAGTGGGCTGCCACTGTGCGGCGCCAGGGAGCAGTGTGGGGTTAAGGGTCTTTGCTTAAGGGGCCCAGAGTGCAGGCTGTGGGAGTGGGGCTTGGACTCAGGACCTCTGGCACCCAAGCGCAACCACTCCCTCTGATATATTTAAACTAAAATGAAATCTCTTTTGTTATGATCGTACTGTTAGGTTAAACTTAAATCAAATAATATTTGATTTAATGGTGTTATGTTACATTGCAGACATTTTTTTTTTTTTATTTATATAATGCCAGTTGGGGAAAACTGATCTATCTAGAGAAGCCCATTGATCGCTTGATTTGCATCAGCCCCTTATCCTGAACAAGCATACTGTATTGTGAAAGTGAAGAGCTAGTCTTGAACCACACTCAGTCATAGTGGCTATTTCCTCAGCTATTTAAAAATTGACTGACATAAACATCCAGAACGAAAGCCACTCAATTAACTAAAAAAAGAGACTCTGAAACACAGAAGCTTTACTTTAATAAAGTATGAAACGTGTCACACAAAATTAAACAAAAATGTCTTGTGCTTCAAGTGCTGAAGGTTTTTCATACGGGATGATTTAAGGCTATCAAGTTCCTCTTGATCAATCATACTGTACCTCAAGAGCCAGGAGGAAACAGCTGACTCTGGATGTTCTGGGAAACGTGGCATTAATATTGAAATCACAGCAGCATCAGCAGTGTAAGATAAAGACAGGCTTTTGTTGTATGTAATTGCATCAAAATTTCAGAGTTCATTTAACAATTTTTTAAGAGCTTGTGTTTCACCTTCTATATTAAAGAGAGAAACCTTGTGCAAAAGATTGCATATGTTTTTTGTAACTTTTTTTTGCTTCTTTCCTGTATGTTTGTGTATCCAGGTTGGCGTTTGGGAATTGTAACGGGCTTGCGGTGGTTGACTACTTACAAAAAACAGTTATATTGTGTATTTCAACACTGGATCTATACGGAGCCACCGACCCCTACCAACGCCTTACCCGTTCCCCCCGTAGGAACCGGCAGTCCACCTCAGGTAGCACACAAAAGCATATCTGCCTTGCTACATAAACCTGCCCACTGATTCACTAACCAAGCACCTAAACAACAAAGTGTCAACAACACTGCTCTATCTTTCTGACTCAATCCTCTCTTCTGATTTTTTTCCTCTGTTGCTTTTCCTTTTCACATCTGCCTCAAAGTACTCTATTTCCATTTTTAAAAGTATGCAAATCTGACCCGTTTTTAGATGAATAATTAAAAAAAAACATTAGATCAGTAGTTTTCCTTTATTACCCATAAATACCATATGTTGTAAGTCTAAATAGTAGTGAATGAAGTAGAAAGGAGTGCTGCTTGCCTTGTCCTAACCTTTTGGTTTCTTTCAAGTTAATATCCGTTTCCATTATATAAATATTTTTAAAAATGAGTTAAAGATGTCCTCATCAGAATGTTGAATTTTTCTTTGTTTTCTGTTACTGAGACAGGAATTTGCAACTACATAGTTAATGTGCAAAATGACATAGGAATTAAGGAAATCAGATTTTTTTTTTTTTTCGGTAATTCAGTTTTCTATGTGCAAAACATATAAATCAAATACATCGTTTTTAAGCTCTGTATTTTATAATTCATTTACACATACGTCTTTAAGCGTGAAGTAATTAAAAAGTAAATTTAACACCCATTTAAAGATCCCAATTTTCGTAAGGTAGGCTATGCATAATCTAATTATTGACAATTAAATCTGATTAAATATACAGTAAAAAGCACTACATTTACAGTATTGCCCTGTCCTACATTGGTATTGAGATTATACATTTTTACGTTAGAGATGTATACATTCAACAAATTACTAACTACGTTTAGAAAGCTACAATATTGTTCCAACAATGGGCCACTTAAATGCAACATGGGTTTTTCATTCCTTTAGAGGATACTTCTACTAAGAACTACTAAGCTAGACTAACAATAGCATGTTTTGGCTCTGTTTTGGTTTTAATAGTTGGTCATTT